CCCGGGTAAACCACCGATCTTCTTTCGGATCCGTATGATCCCTGAATCTGATCCGGTACTCCCTCTTGGGTTTAGGAGGTCTTCCTCGACCTAGCGGCTTCGGAACAGGCATATCCCTGTGATCCACAGTATCGTCGATGTCGACTTGTCCATCCATGGTTGGGGGCAGCATCGATCTCCTGGAAGGGAATTGATCAGTCTCAGCGAAAGGTGCAAGCTTTGAGGCATGAAAGACTGGGTGAGTGCGTAGATGTCCAGAGACACGAATGACATGTGTGGGACCATCCATTTCATCTCCCACTAAATCCAAGACTTCCCAGGGACCAAAGTACTGAGGCATTAGTTTGCGAGATATTCTGAATTCCTGTCCTAACTCACTAGCCTTGACCCAGACACGTTCCCCTACCTGAAATGTGGACTGTCTGCGATGTTGATTCTCATAAGCAATCATGGCTTGTTGAGCTTTCTTCATATGTTCAACAGCATCTTGCAGCAACTACTCATATTGCACACCGTATTCAAGTGTGCTTGGAGTTGCAACGGGTCGGTTTTCAGGTAGGAGGAAGTCTAATGCTGATCTAGGCTTCCATCCTAAGTGCAGCTGGTTAGGACTAACGCCGATACTGCTATGTATAGCATTGTTGTACAGGTTGGCGATGAGAGGTAACTGCTCATCCCAGTCATCCTGGCTGGGCTTGATGTAATGCCTCAGCAAGTGCTGTATTCATTTGTTCGGCCTGTCCGTTGGCTTCGGGATGATTCCCTGAAGTCGTCTGAAGTTAACTGCCCATCTGTTCCGCAGTCTTCTTCGACAACTCACTTGTAAATCGGACGTCTCGGTCACTAATGATGGTCTTTGGTAAACCAAAGTCCCTTACCCAATTGTCCTTGAACAACTTGATGACGTGTTCTGTCCTGGCTGTCTCTAGCATTGGTATTAGTCTAGCGTACTTGGTGAATCGGTCAATGATGACGAAAATGTGCCTCTTACCACTCTTGCTGGTCACAAGAGTGTCCATGAAATCCATGGAAACACTCAATCCTGGACCATCAGGAATAGGTAAAGGCTTCAATAACCCAAGCGGTGCTTGAGTTCGCGGCTTATCCCGCTGATAGACCTGACAGGTCTCAACATACTTATTTGCGTCATCTAACATTCTGGACCACCAAAATCGTTGTACTAAGTTAGCACTCGTCTTCTTGTAGCCAAAGTGCCTGCGTCATGACATTCGCCTAAAAATAAACTACGCAACTGTTCACTAGATGGAACTACCAATCTCTTTACCCCGGCCTTATCAAGATAGATTAGCCCATCCACCATCACAAACTCACTTTCTGTGGCCTTGTCTTTTGCCTGAAGTTTGCGGATGATGTCCATCGTGACAGGGTCTTCCTGATAGGCTCCCACCAATGACTGAGTTACTTCGTTAGATACGCCAAATTCAAAAACTAGCGCACCTAGGTAGTCTGCTCTACGGGATAGCGCGTCTGCAACCTTGTTGTACTCTCCCTTCAAGTACTCAAGCTTGGAGTCATATTGGTCTATGACCTCAATCCATCGCTTGAGTGCATCAGAAAGAGTCGGTTGAGTCTTGATCCATTTGAGGGTCTGATGATCAGTCCTCAGATAAAAGAACCTTCCCAAAAGGAGTGTCTCCAATGGACAAGTGCCTTGTAGACAGCATAGAGTTCCCTTTCGTAGGTGGACTTAGCCAACTTCTTCGATGGCATCTTCTTACTCATGTACTCAATCGGTCTCAACTTTTTCCCATCCTGCTGAGCCAGCACTGCGCCAACGCCGTATTGGCTTGCGTCAGTGGTCACTATGAATGGCTTTTGCGGATCGAGAACCTGAGAACTTCATGATTCATTAGTGCATGCTTCAATCTCTTGAAAGCACCCTCGCACTCATCACTCCAGTCCCACGGCGTGTCAAGTCGAGTTAGATCCATCAAAGGAGAGGCGACTGTAGAATAGTTCTTAACGAAGTTTCTATAGTAACCGCACATTCCTAAGAATGATCTGACCTCAGTGACTGTCTGAGCTCGTGGCCAGTCTCGAATACTAGCCACCTTCGCATCTTCCGGCCTAATCTCCTCCGCGGATACTTCATGACCCAAGTATAGTATCTTAGTGCGGCCAAACTCGCACTTCTCTAAGTTGACCTTATACTTGTGCTGTCGTAGGAGGGAGAATACTTTCTCAAGATGTTGTGCGTGCTCCTCGACAGACTTACTAAAGATCAAAATATCGTCTAGATAGACTACGACAAACTTATCTAAATGGTCATGGAAGATCTGATTCATAGCGTGCTGGAATGTACCCGGCTCATTACAAAGACCAAAAGACATCACTACAAACTCATACAGACCATAACGAGTCTGAAAAGTTGTCTTGTGTCGGTCCTCAGGTCTTATTGCGATCTGGTGATATCCGGATTTCAAGTCTATCTTTGTATAGTACTTGCATCCCTGCACCCTATCCAATAGGTCCTCTATGCGAGGGAGAGGCTCTGCGTTTTTCACAGTGATGGCATTGAGGCCTCTATAGTCAATGCACATCCTCAAAGTACCCCCCTTCTTTGGTACGAATAGAACGGGTGATCCGTAAGGGGAAGTACTAGGCCGAATCCAACCCTTTTCTGTCAGGTCCTTAAGTTGTCGCCGAAGTTCATCTAACTCGGCRGGGGCCATCCTATAGATCCTTCCCTTTGGGGTCTTACTCCCTGGAATGATTTCTATAGCGTGGACGACTTCCCTWTCAACAACTCCTGTGGGCTCCTCGAACAGATCAGGGAACTTAGCAATGGCGCGTTCTATCTCTGGGGTTGTTTTAACGGCCTCCCCCTTCTCAGAGACATAAACAAGGTACATACCCTCCTCTTCGTTTTGCTTGTAATAGGTGTAGAACGCAGATGCGCACAAGCAGCCATAGGTATCTATAATACCACTGGCCTTGATCAATCTGACAGTTCGGCCATCGGGCAACTTGTGTTTGAGCACCTTCTTATCCCAGTCGAACTCGGGCTTAGCAATTTCGAGGTAGTACATGCCTAACAGCATATCGAATGGCAAGTCGTCGCTAACCAAGAACGAGATCTTATGGTTAAGCTCTCCTCCTCCATAGGAGAAGGTACAAACTACATCCTTGATGTAGTCCGTTACAATCATGCGCTCCTTGTTTGCCAAAGTAGATGCTACGAGTCTACGAAGGTGCCGTACCCGGTCCTGGAGGTGCAGCCTTTCGAAACAGTCGCGACTTATGTAATTCCGCGTGGAGCCAATGTCTATGAAGGCACCACATTTGCGGCCTCGATACAGTTGGGTCCCGGGGCAATGCAGTTGTGCCTCCTTCATCAAGGCCTGCAGCCAGATTCACACAGTGGGCCGATTTCCCCTTTGGCATTTTCGGCCTCTATACCCAGCATGCATTGTCGGCCTCACATTCGAGTGCCCATGGCCTAACTAACTCAGAGGCTTGGGCATTTCAGCATTTGCTGAAACCCGAGACTCGGGGCACTCCAACCAACTGGCGTGCTGCAAGTGTATGGACCCCACTTCGTGAAATGTTGGCACAGAGGGCTCTTGTTGATTTGCTGGCCCGCCTTCACTTAGGGCGGGCACGAGGCTTGTTGGGGCCTTAGCCCAGAACATGTACATCATGCTAAGGCCCCTACTTGAGGGCTCAATCCTCACATATATATCACAGTGGAAATCGGACCGCAAAGGCGGAAAAAGACAGAACAAGAAAAAGAAAAAGAAGGAAAGCCCCACCTGTTCGTCACCTCTTAGGTGCAAGTATATATATATCGTCACAAACAGAACTGCCCGGTAAACCGTAGGCAGAGAGAGAGAAGAGAACAATATACGATATATATATATATTGTCACATTGTGAATCAGAGCGCAAAAACGGGGAAAGAAAAAAGGAAAAGGAAAAAAGGGGGAGGGGGAAGAGGTAAGGAAAGCTCCACCTGTTCATAACCTCTTACGTACAAGGCCAGCCACGTGGATGACAGGTTGAGCGCTGGCTGCCCCCATCCCCGTGTGTCACAAGGACCCACTTGCACGCAGCCAAAAGGCAAAGAGG